CACAAGCACACTTGTATTTCCATGCAACTCTCTGATTGGTCTGGTGTCTTGCCTCTGTTGCATTCAGCGAACACGGGAAATTACAGTCCTGCCGTCCTTTCTAGTGTCTTGATGAGGTTCACGTAAAGCACGGTTAATGTATTATATTATTGAGGTAGAATTGTCCGGGGCTACAGAAAAAACATTCGGGGCAGGCCAAAATATTATTTTACCAACAATGTGGAATTTATTGGCTACATATTACACAGATTATGCACAGCGGGAGCAGCAATAACCGTCAAATAATAATTCAGACAGGGGAGCTCCGCACCCCCTTCCTGCCGCTAGGGGGTGCTGCAGCGCCCTCAGCACCCCCCTTCCCGCGCCAATGCGCGCATAGTTGCGCCGCATTTGCACATAAGACGAATTGCACTGCATGAGAGGAGGCCCCCTCCGCAAGGTCTGCGCAGTCTGCGTGATCTGCGTGTAGGGAGGGGCGGGCCTGTGTAATGGCATTCATTCCCACTACATTAGATACCTTTCTGTGATGCGGCGCCCTGTTATACTGCGTTTCTGTATTATAGTAATGGTTTCTATAGCCGTGACGTCATAATAATGGTATTAAGAGGTGGGTTTATTTAGGTAGGACACTACTGAAGGCCTAGGGTTGAAATGCAGAGCCCAATACTTTTGTCCAAACTAATCTGATGTCCCTTTTTTTCTCCTTCCTTCCCTTAACCCTAAACTAGTAAATGTGCTGAGCTGGAGGAGGAACTGAAGAACGTCACCAACAACCTGAAGTCTCTGGAGGCCCAGGCTGAGAAGGTAGTGACAGAGAGGAGAATTGTGACATCTGCGATCAGGTCATTAGCATAAATCACAACCTGACTAATCTTCTTTCTCATTACAGTACTCTCAAAAGGAGGACAAGTATGAGGAAGAGATCAAGATCCTGACTGACAAGCTGAAAGAGGTGAGGAAGAAGGAGTGATGACTAGAAGATATTGTAAACCCTTTATTTAAATGGCAGTTCCTTCATTAAAATCCATTGTAGAATCTAGAGTTGTTGACCACACATGTATTCTGATTTGACGCTGACTCATGCTTTGTCTCCTCAGGCTGAGACCAGGGCTGAGTTTGCAGAGAGATCTGTGGCCAAGCTGGAGAAGACTATTGATGATCTGGAAGGTACAACATTCATTGCTCATTGAACCAGTACTACCTGCATCCTTTAAATAGACTTAAGAAAAAAAAGGAAACTACTATACATAACAACACTGAATTTGGACACATGATTTGAGATGTGGTGATAGCAGTCTTCTGCTTTGAGCAATAGCCTACTAGCTTAACCATAACAGGAAGTACGATGACAGTGACTCGAAGTGCTACAGAAGACAAGAGAAGAAGCTGAGTCGTATTATTTAGGTGTTATCACAAGATGTTTTAAAGAAATCAATAGTTGTTGTTGTTTTATGCACAAGTTCATATAAATGAGTAGGGAAATGGTTGCAAGGTGATTGCAGTTGACAGCTTAGGTTTACAATTCAAATTGTGGATTTCATTCAGTGTTTACAACAAAAATGGCTTCATTTTTGGAACAATTGATAAAACCTACAGTATAGAAAATGATATGTTACATTGGATGGACACTTTTTCCATCATTAAGAAAATCATGAGCATTTTTCCACTTGTGTCCAATTCTGTTTCCAATTCCAATTCAAATATTTTTAATTCCTACCACGACCAATAACAGTTACAGCTTTTCTAGATTAATTACGCTTACTTTTGACATTTTTACATTCGCTCGTTGGAAGTTTTTTCTAATTGAGAACTTTCTATAAAATGTCAATCCATGACTTTACATGTATTTACATTTCATATTCCACAATTCCAATAATTTCCTCTCTTTTATTTGTTTCCCTTTTCCTTTGCAACACACCTTTCAGATGAGCTGTATGCACAGAAACTCAAGTACAAAGCCATCAGTGAGGAACTGGACCACGCACTCAATGACATGACCTCCATGTAAGTACTGATGTGTGTCATTCCAGTGGGAATCTGACTTAGCATGCATGCTTTTAGGGGGAGGTCAACCTGTACAAAGGCTCTGGAATGAAGAGGATCTAGTAAATAAGACCTTACAGTACAGTACAGGTCTAACTTGTTTTTAATTCAGGAGTATTTCCTTTAGTCCTTAGACAGTCACAGTCTTACAGAGCACAGGGACAGACTTGGTGCAAAGCTCCTTCAACAATGTGGACACACACACTTCATCACTGTCTCTTGTTTCTTGTGTCTTCAGCTAAACATCCAGAAGCTCCACCATCCTGTCCTGTCGTGGTTTCAAGACTCTGCACCCAACCCCGTTCCTTTTATCACATGTCATCTCTCTTTCCTCATTCCTGGTAGCCATTGTTCATTGTTTGTTTTCTCTTAAGGAATGTTGTCCGTCTGAATTCACTCTTCATCGTACTTCTGTATCACCTCTGTTCTGTACCAGAGTAAAACAAGAGAGGGGAGAAAGCTTGAGTTACTGCTGTGTCTACGGCTGCTTTTATTATTCACTGAGCCACAAGTTGCTGCTGATGAAACATGCGTGAGAGTGTGTGTGTGTGTGTGTGTGTGTGTGTGTGTGTGTGTGTGTGTGTGTGTGTGTGTGTGTGTGTGTGTGTGTGTGTGTGTGTGTGTGTGTGTGTGTGTGTGGACCCAAATGCTGGAGACAGATTCTCCTACCAGAAACTACCCTTATTTAAAGGATCGGTCAAGACAAGGCAAGACAAAGCAGAACGGAACCTCCTGATGTTTGAAGAACAAGAATCCGACTAAGACTAAACAAGAGCCAACACAAGAAGAATGGGGGGGTGCAGGTGAATAGAAGGTCAGATGGTTGCAGGGCTGATGGGGAACAGATGGAACTGATACCATCATTGGGACCAAAACTTGTTCCCATTGACTAACATTAGCCGCTTTCACACCAAGTACTTTGCCGTACTTAGTGCCGGCACTTCGTGCCCCGGCACTTATTACCCCAGCGCTAAGTACCAATCGCGTTCACACCGGAGTACTTTTCCCTGAGGGAAGATTACCCAAATGAAGCCGCTGACGTCACTTCGTCTTCTTCTGCTTTGGGTTTACTGGCAGGCCGCAAACAACTTCATGGCGTATACTGCCACCCGAAGTCCCCCGGAGCAGGGGACTGCTGGGAGTCACAGCAGCTTCTACTGAAGCCTTCTGAGTAAATCGCCAGAACACCGACACCTCCTCATCTCCACCACTCCCATGTTTTCTTTTTGTTTTCATATTAGTCTCTCTGCATTTCTGCGCTAGGCTAATGCTAATAATGATAATGCGAGGATAATAAAATGGCGGCTTCACACAATTTTTTGGGAGTTTTACGGGGTGTGGTTTGCAATTCGCCCAGCCAATAGAAATTGGTACTTTTTTGGTACCACCTGGTTTCACCAGGCACTGAAAATGGGGGTAAAAGTTCCCGTCACTAATACTCTTTTTGGTGTGAACGCGACATCAGGGGTCCTAACGGAACTAAACGGGAAAAGTACGGGTAAAAGTACTCCGGTGTGAACGCGCCTATTGGGAACTAAACACAGCCTCCAGAAAGATCACAGCTCTCTGAAGGCCTTCAAACAGAAGCGATAGTCATGACCCTTCAGAAAGTAGGATTTATAGGCCTATAGTTTTAATAAACAGTTAGTTACTTAGTTAGACATGTATTATGTTTATATCTCATTAGCATTACAGGCAACAACTATGAGAATTAACAATAAATAACAATATACAATATTCACATTTTTATAATCTTGTTTTAAATATTTTAGTTGGCCTTGGGGAGAGTCTGTTGTGCTTACCTGTGACTGGTAAAGACACATGAATCATAAAACATCTAAAAATGGTCTGTCTTAATCATTTTCTAGGAGCTCCAATTGTCCTTCAACTGAATAAAGTCATCAACATATTTGTTTCCAAATCAAACTAACTCCCCCAATAATGATAATAACAATCAGACCTTATTGGTTTACACTCAGAACTTTTATTTCTGGCTAATTCCCATCACACTGTTCTATCGGGTGAGTCATACTATTCCCAGTGCCAGAGATTATGAACGTTTTGTAATGATTTCCATTACAGGCCTGTATCAAATCATTATGTAATGTACATTTCCCAAATGTGTTCTATTATTCGTATTCTAATCATTTATAGAATGCTGGAATCTCCAAACCCTGAACGAGTAAGCATTCTATCATTTCCGGTTCCCTCATCTCGAAATCATCGATTTTTGTGTTTTTGGTTAGAAGTCTGAAATAAGGTCTGTGGTTAACACAAGCTGAAGAGATTTGAACTTTTTTTCCTACAGTAAATACCCCACTGGTGAAAGTGTTAACATTCTTTGTGTAAAGAAAATAGAACAAGTGTCTAAATGAGACGTCATCATGCACCAAACATTAGCTTAGCTTAGCTTAGCGGTTCTAGTGATTGCATTTACACTTCTAAAATCATAAAGTGGTGTTAATGTTGAGATTGTCATGCTGAACAAAACATGTAAATATCATGCACGTGTGTTTGCCACAGAGATCATTTTCTGCAATATACCAAAATCCAATGTTGAGAGACCCATTGCGATGCTTCTGGGTCGGCCTCCAGAAATATGTCATCCGTGCGTCACTTTATTGTGTTCATTACATCATCTCCACTCGACCCTCAATGTAATTCTAATCCTGCTGACACAATCACATTTAAACCAAATGATCGAACAGGCAGAGTTACATTTGCTTGCTCACAGTTCATCATTCATTTCACGATAGTAAAACTACATAAGGTTCTGTTGACACAGAAAAGTACCTAGAACATCTGGAATTAATCATTCAGCTGGGATGATAACGTTTATTTTAATGTTTTAACAAACATTGATTTTTTCATAAAAATAAACATTTAAAGGTCACCTATTATGCAAAATCCACTTTTTCCCCTCTGTGTAAAGAGACAGAGAGTTACAGAGACAAAGACCCCCTCTCTTTATATCCTGATCCATCTTTATAAAAACCTGTCTGAAAATGAGCTGATCACATTTTGGTCACTTTGTGATGTCACAATGCTTTTTTGGTTGTGCAACCATTAGCCAATAACCAACCAAGGTAACATGTTTTGTATCTAAGAGCTATAATCTATTGTTGAACAAGAGAATAATAGGGGACCTTTAAGCATAACAAAATGATGGAAATCATGTTTTCCTTGTTGATACCTCATGCATTGATCAAAACCCGCAAAAGCTATATCTTCCTCTAAAAAATACAGGCTAACTCTAAACAGTGTCTAAACCTCTTTATTTCTAACACACACATTATTGAAACTGTTAGGCTAGTGATTAATTGATAGCAAACGGTTTCATCATGGATAAATGCTAAATATTATGCAAAATCCATTTTCAGGAAATAGACAGAGTCATAAACACAACTGCAGTTTATTAAATCCAATATACCCTACTACATCATCCAATATATCAGCCTGCTGCCATCCAGCCTTCTCATCAAGTTAACTTTGACTCTGAGTGAAGCTTTTGAGTCTAATGTGTTGTGGCAGAAAGATAATGGCATCCATCATTGTCTAAGACAGCACTGCAGTCAGTAAGCATGCTAGTTTCTGCTACATAATACATAGATATTTTTTGACAAAACGTAAAACTCTTCACATTCTGTTGATAATGTGTTTTAATGTTATAGACTTCAATTCTGGGACAAACAGTATATTATACAAGTAACCCTTTAAAAAAACAAACATTTTATGACTGTTTGGCTTTTTCCGCTCTGGCCATCACCTCCATCAGTCATGACTTGTGAACTCACCAAAGTCATTATTGAGACCTGGGGCCTCATCTATAAAGGGATATACGCTCAAAAAATGGCGTGCGGCAGTTTCTACGCAATGTTTGCGATTTATAACATACTAACTTGACGGGAAAACGTGCAGTCCTCCACGCAAACTCTAACCCAGGGCTATTCAATTACACATTCAGTTGGGCCAGATTTTATAACTACAAAATTCAGCTGGGTCAGACATTCAGCGGCCTGTAAAAAGCGGATAGTGACACATTTTAAACCAACACATATTACTGTGATGAAAAACATGCCATTTTTATTCATTGTTCATCTAACAAAGGTAGGTCAAAAAGTGCATAAAAACACAACAAATTAGCATTAATTTAACAGAATCTGAAAAAAAAGTGCAAAGTTGTAGCATTACATTTGTTTGCTTTAGAAGTCAAATATTCAGGTTATTTTTTTTGAACCAGGCACATCACAAAGTGCATTTACTGAATACAATAATAGCAGTCTTAATAAATGTCCTCACATACAAAGAAAACAGCTAAAGAGCTCCAATGCAACACAAAGAGGTAGTACTGTAGCAATACTATTTTTTCTACT